AATTAAGAAGGATAGTAGATGAGATTTGAAGTTGAAGTTGATAGAGTGTATTATTAGTTATATTAATAAGTGATTGTGACTTTGCTTTTTTAACTGTGGTCATTGTCATTTATCATAGTGTTGCAGGTATTGCTAATACTGGAGATAAGCCTTCAGTGCAAAGTATTGTTGCAGATCTATATATATATATATTTCAACTTTCTCATTCTTGAAGATATTATTTTTGTTCTTCTTTATACTTTGCCAGGATACTAATGACCTGGAATGGATAAAATTTAATGTCAGGTTTCAATGTTAAAATATTTTTCTTCCTTTTAGGCTTGCTTCCATTAAACATTTACTAAAGTTTTGTATTTTTACCATTTGATAGTATTTTGGTCTTTTGGGTTCTTTCTTCCTAGACTTTTCAATTTCTTTTATTATTTCCCAGTTGTAATACATCTTTTTAATAATTGTTGAGTCATTAAAGTTCTAATCCTTTGATTTTGTCAATATTTGGTCTTCTCAACTCTAATTCCATTTTGATAGTGATGTTGGTTGTAGTTGTTTAGCCATCATTCAACACATTGGTATCTTTTTCACATGTAAGAGTTTTTACTCTTGAAATTATTTATTCCTAGTGAATACTGGGATATAGCTTATTGGACTTGTTCTTTTCTCCTTGTTCTTGTCAAATTTAGTTGCTCCAGGGGTAGATAATAGTTTTTCTTTGAATAGGACCCTATAGCTTGCCCTATTCTATTCTGACCAACTTATCTCTATTGTCAGGTCTGCTATAGTGTTTTTAGATATATACACTTCACTAAAATTTTTATTTTTTTTTTAATTAATTATGAGCTTTTACAGGCTTCCCAATTGATATATTTGTCCTATGACTATGACTATTCTTCAGAGTCAAGGTCTATATCTAAAAATTCCAGAAATAGGTCAGTATAGTTAGATTTATACCAACTTTGATTGGAGTAAGTTGCACAGTTTCCGGCATCTATAATTTCATATTCTTCTTCGAATTTGAGTCCTTGAGCTGCCTTTTACTATTTTGAAATATCAACTAGATAAATCTCATTGATGTCTATCAGTTGAGTTCCAGTTTCATAGTCACTATCAGATTTTATTTCTATCTGATACCTGGTTTTGTCAATTCTTGCCCAAATTCTTGGGTTAGTTGCAGTAAAAGAGCTTTGCTTAGTCTGGCTTGCTCTAAATATGTATTAATTTCTTCTTCCATTTCATCCCACTCGACCCATTCGGTATTATCAAGCCAATCAGTTACTTCTATCTCTTCGTCAGGGTTTTCAGGAAAATATTCTTGGATACTAGCCCTGAAGACTTCTACTTCTTTATTTGTTCTAGCTATCTGTCCTTTTGAGAGTTCTTGTGTAAGTCAGGTTTGTTTTTCTTCAGCATTCCTCATATCAGCTGCTTTTTGATAATGGCTGATTTCTCTGTCTTTTTCTTGACAATGCATTAG